TTCCCCCCCGACTCCTCTTGTGGCACCACCCCAGGGTCCCCGTGACCCGCCGCGCCTACTGGCAGTTTGACATGGACGCCCTCGCGGTGGAGGGCCGCGGCGACCTGGGGGCCTGCGACGGCGGCTGCCCCGCCATTGCCGACTCGGGCACCTCCCTCGTGGCCGGTGAGCCCCGCCCTGGAGCACAGCGGATCACATGGGGGTGGCGCTGAGGAGGGCAGGGCGCAGCCCTCCTGGACGACCACATGTCAACCGCCGATTGCCATCCTGCTGTTCCCCGCGGCCTGCCTGTTCAGCAGTTCCCCTCGCCACCCACTCACCTGCTCCGCCCTTCCTTCCATGATATGGTTTGCGAACCCGCCCTCCAGGCCCCAGCAGTGAGGTCAGCGCCATCAACTCGGCCATCGGGGCGGAGTCGGCCTTCAGCCTGCAGTGCAAGGGCTTTGTGCGCCAGTACGTGCCTCAGATCATCAGGGCCGTCAAGGACCTGCCCATCGACGAGGTGCGGGAACGTGCGCGCGCGCGTGTGGCAAAACGCACGTGTGTGGGCCCAGGGCAGGTGCGGCCCTTGGCAAGGACCTTTTTTTGTGTGGCAGCACTTTGTCGAGCCATGCGCAATCAGGAAACAGCGCATTCGTTGTCAGTTCGGGCGAGGGCCTTCACAGCCGCATGGAGTGTCAAACGCAACTTGTGCTGTGTGCAATGATTACTCCTGTTTTCCTTCTTGGTTGTCAAGTGTCACCCAACCCAGGACACCCCACCCCCACCCACCACCCCCAGGTCTGCTCCGTCATCGGCCTCTGCCCCGCGGTCAGCCCCGCCCGCCGCCTCCTGGCCTCCTCCCCCCTCTCCGCAGCCACCCGCGTCATCTCAGACACCCTGTTCGCAGCCCCCACCACCGCCGCTGACGCGTCCTGGCGCGCTGCGGCTGCCAAGCTCCGCGCGCGCTACGGCTCCAGCTCCGCCACCGCTGCCCTCAAGGGCGGCCTCAAGCGCGGCGCCGCCCCCGGCGCCGCGAAGGATGCCGCCACCCCCAAGGGCCGCCTGGCGGACGCCCTGCGCGGGGCCGTCGCGGGCGTTGATGACGCCAGCCTGAAGGCTTCGTCGTCCAACGGGTTTGGGTGTGACTTCTGCAACACCGCTGTTGAGTACGTGAAGATCGCCCTCAGGAACAACCAGACCATCGAGGAGATCGAGGAGGTGGGGGGGGGGGGAGATGGGGCGATGGAGGGGTAGACGGGCTTGAGCGTACGGGGGCTAATGCTCTTCCCGACCTCCACGCAGCGGCGTTCGCATGCATGATTTCCCACCATCCTCTACGACCCCGCCCAGACACCCTTTCCCTGACCGCCTCGTCGCGCTGCCATTCTCCTGGAGGGCTGCACCTGTCCAGCACCCCGGCCTCGGC